CCATCCCTCAGTGTTACTGTTTCTGAAACACTAATCCGTGCCTTTATCACTACCTACCTTGACTATTGTAATTCACTGCCCTCTGACCTCCTGTCCAAACTTATCAACAGACTACAATATATTCTGAACTGTGCCGCCTGTTTACTTACACATATGAGAAAATTCACCCACATCACTCCTGTTCTTGATGATTGGTTGCTTGTCACAAATCAAATTTAAAAAATTACTAATGACTTACAAAGCTCTCCATGGACTTGTCCCTCAACATCTGTCTGACCTTCTTCTTCCTTACACACCAGCCGGCACACTAAGATCATCGGGTTCCAACCTTCTTACTGTACCTAAAATCAGATCCCCTATAAGTGACATTCCATACTCTGGAATGCACCTCCTCACAATCTACAAGAGGTTTAGTCTGTTAATATCTTCAAGCTCCAACTGAAAACTCACTTATTTCAGAAATGCTACAGTATGTGTCAGCATGCAGCATTCTCATTTGCATGGTTTTGCTGTTGTTACTGTGTGTGCACAGCTTTATTGTATTGCATTGCATTTATTGTATTGTAAAATGTCCTTGATTGTGAGAAAGGCGCTATATAGTTTAAACGTCTTATAATATCCCTGATTTTTAATATTTTGGTCTTAAATAAAATAATAGGGCAGCACGGTGGTGCAATGATTAGTGCTGCTGCCTCACAGCAAGAAGGTCCTTAGTTTGATCCCGGGGTTGAGCATAGATCCTTTCTGTGTGCAGTTCACACGCTCTCCCATGTTCTTGTGGGTTAACGCCGGGGGCTCCGGTTTCCTCCAGTGGTCCAAAAGTGTGCAGGCAGGTTGATTGGCGAGTCTAAATTGGCCCTGTGTGTGTGTGCGCCCTGTGGTGTGTTGGCAACTGCCCAGAGTTGGTTCCCACCTGTGCCCATTGTTCCTGGGATTGGCTCCAGTGACCCCAGCTGGCATTAAGCGATTACGGGGATGGATAAAATAATAATAGTATTAAGATAATGCACATTTCTGTTTCTATTTTTCATGTTTTATTTTATTTCTGTCTTGATTGTATGTTTACTTGTATGCCTCATCGACCAAAGCAGATTCCTCATATTTGGTGAATGAAAGGATTCTGATTCTGAGAAATGTCCTTGAAATTAACAGGATCTGTCTGAGTAGTTTCAGACAGTTCCAGGTCAGAGTCACTCTCTGCTGCTGCATGGGTGCAGTGGTCTATCCATCTCTGTAAATCACCCCACACATCGCTTCACTAAGTGTCGTTTCTTCCTGTGACTTCCTGTTCAGTTACTGAGGACAAACGGGCAAGCCCAGCAATCACAGCCTGTCACACTTTTCGTTGGGCCTGTGTTTGCAGTGCCCCCCTCTGATTGGCTAAGCAAGCACGTCCTGTAATTTTCTTACTCGTGATTTGCTGTCAGTTCTTTATGGCCCTCCTCCTTCCTGTTTTCCTTCTTCCATCTGCCCAGGCTCTATCCCTCTCCTATTCCCCAGCCAATCCCATTCTCCTACACCTAATTTCTCTCTCCACCGCACTAAAGATTCTCTGTCAAGTTTCCCTGAGAAAATCGAAGACTAATTAAGATTGTTAATGAAGATTTAATTCCACACTTCAAACGAAGCAGTGATCATGGGGCCCTCTGTGGGTTGGGGGTGGGTGAAGGAACACCACACTTTAGATTCTCCAGTGTGAATTTGGGAAAGAGAAAAACGTCAAAGATATTTCAATAAAACTAAATCACTTCAGATAGCTTGATGCCACTAGATAGACGCTTCATGGACAGAGAAGGGCCATCTACTGCTTCTGCATTCACCTCACCATTTTGTCATCCAACCTGCTGAAATATGGCTGCCTCCACAGGCCACTCAGAAAAGCGCAAGATGTTGAACAAAAAAAAATAAAAAATTTAGGCACACTAGAAAAGTCACTAGAAAGAGGCTTTTCAATCACTAATAACCGGGGAGTTGAAAATGATCCCTTCGATATAATTAATATTTATATAATTTATTAATATATATAATATAATGTTTTGGGGGCAATAATAAATTCCTTTATTTTGGCAATTTGATTTTTAGCACCACCTGGTGGCAATGGTGTGCATCGCCGTAACTTCCCCCAATGCCTTTTACTGCTCTTTACTGGTTGTCTGTGAATACTGCGATACGTGTTCTAATTAGGATAAATGAATGGCATCTTTGAAAACTGTCAGGCAAATAAAGGAATATAAGCACAACTGCAGTGTCCTCCAAGCGATCAAGGTAAGACAAAGGCTTGTTGGTGACAGAAGCGGGAAAACTGTGGGTCATTCTGACACTTATGCTGACTTCATGGTCAGTGGATGGATGCGTGTGCCTGTCAGACCCTGTAAATTATTCTGTCATGTGCTTCATGCCTTCTAAGCCCCACCCACACAGTGATGTACAGGAGGAGGAGCCCAATCAGATTTAATAAGACACATAACGCCGTGGACTCGTCTCCAAAATGTACCGTCTTTATTAAAATTTACAAAATTAAAATTGAATATGAGTCTGTGTTGATGTCGGGACTTTGAAGCGTAAGTGTGGATGTCACTCAGAACTATCTTCTATCATTCCAGGTCGTTGTCCTTCACATTGGCACTGTATTACAGATCCACGCTCATGGGAAGGTTCCGTTTCTCACCAGAGAGCCCGCCCACCCTCTCTGCAGTTTCCATGGAAATGTCCGCATATGGTTTTGCTGGCTCCAGCCCAGTAACAGTACCACTGGGTCCCAGTTTGAATCTGGTCCTGGTCTGACCCCTGTCCTGGTAGCTGGAGTCCAGCTTGTCGAGCTGAATCCAATATTTTCCATATGGGGGATGTAGGTAACATGTCAGGTTAAATCCAGTAAATGAGTCCAGTCCATTCAAATCAAGTTCAGTTCATCTGAAACACTCATAATTGGTCCCATTGCACCTCTTCAGTTTAACCTATACTTTTCTCAGCATGACAGCATCAATAACCATTATGGGCGCCATGGCGATAAGAGATATTTACATTTGACATGTGTGCACATCACCATCATCGTGAGATTCTGTACAGCACAGCGGATAACTAGCCAGCATGTTCAGGGAGTGCCGGGGGGGGAGGGACGACGACAAGGTTTGCACCGCTGCTGTGAAAATAAAGCCCCACCCTTGACTCTTACGGATTCAACTCATCCGTGTCCCAAAAAGGGGATGCTGGTGAGCCATGGGGGGTCGAATGGAGTTTTGGGAAAGATCCAGGCATGTCATAGTGAGCTAATAAGGGTGGGGGTTCAGGAGAAAGACCCAGGAGAGTGGGAGGTGTATCTCAACCCAGCCCTCAGGGACCCCTAGTCCACATTTCTGCTCCCTCCCAGCTCACAGGACACCTGTTCCAAATAATCGAAAACAAACCAAACAATCAAGAGGACTTGGAGCTCCCTCCACCGTGTGAGAAGTGTTAACCCAGGCGGTTCTCTTGTGTGGCTGGAATGAGCTGCCAAACCACATCAAATGATCAGACTCCCTCTCCACCTTCAAGAAACACCTCAAGGCCCATCTGCTGCAGGAACTTCATGCCTCGTTTTGTTCCCTGAACGTTCTTGTGTTGCACTTTTGGCCTTTGAGTCTTATTAGGTTCTTACTTAGTTACAAGTTGTTCTGTAGCTCCTGTTCCAATACCGTGTACACTTCTAGCCCTGCTACATTTAGGACTTGCTCACTCCTTGGCAGCATGAATGTTCGTAATGTGCTATTTGCTTTGTTTGTATGTTGGTTTGGGCAAAAACACTGGTGAAATATGTTAAATGCAAATGAATGTAAAACGTGCATTAACTGGGGGTCCCCAAGGACTGAGTTGAGAAACACTGCTTTAGAAATTAATGTTTGTGAGCTGGAAAAATTCATCATGGGGACCCCCCCCCCCCATCATGACCCTGAAGTCCAGGGCTAATTTTTAATGCCAGGCCAGCCCTTATCCACAGTGTTAAGGTTTTGGTAGGATAAACCAACGCAGGTTGTATTGCAGCTGTCAGCCAGTAAAACCAGTAAACTGCGGTGGGCCATGTGATCTGAGCTAGAGGGGCGGGGTTGGAAAGCCAACTCCCATCCATCGCGGCACAAAGCCAGCACCACAGAAAGGGGGCTCAGTCTCGATAAAAACACATTGAAAGCAGCGATTAAAATAATAATGCCACTTTTTCCACTGAGACGTGACTAAGTGGGCCAAGAATGCTTGGCGTGTCAGTGAAAAGCATGCTGGGAGCTTCCGAGGTGAGCCCACCACAACAGGATCATCGTGGACATTAAGTGCTATCTGATCTCTGCTTATTAACGCATTTTGGTTGGCAGATACACCTCTGGGTGGGGGGGGCAACGCATTAATATCTCACTAATCGTTTCAATTTTTCACGAGGTCTATTTTCCGACGGCATGAGGTTTGAGGGAGATGAATCAATTTTTCAAGAATGAATCGTTTCGTCGGGCCTGGTTTGGAGTGAAGCTGCTAGCTGAATAATTCACTCGTCTGTTATGGAGCAGAGCTGAAAGTGATGGGTCTTTTCTTCTATCCGTCCGCCTCCGCTCCGTCCCTCTGGCACATCAGCCTGCTCGTACTCTGTTACTCTGTGGGACCATCTGCGGCTGGTGTAGGCCCGTCTGTCTCTCCATGTGCCGTGAATCTTAGCGTGTGTGTATGTGTATGTCACTGTACATACTTTGATATTCATGTGTGTTTGTTTGTGACCCCATCTGGGACTCCACGTGAGATCGGATCCGGGTCCCACATGTGAGGCGCTGGCTCTCCCCCCTCCCTGCTGGTCTGGGCCACCTCTCCCTCCATCCTGCTCTCCACTGCTTCACTCCCTCGCTCTCCCTCTTCATCACGTACCGTACCTCCTGTCCTCTGTATCCCATGCGGCATTTCTTCTTCAATTACCGTAGCAATGTCTCTTCTCTTGGCATCCCTCTCTCGCTCCCTCTCTCCTTGCCTCTCCTTCTTCCCCTCCCTCATTCTTCCCTTAGTTTCCCCCCTCCCTCCTCCTCATCTGTCACCTGCGCCTCCTCCTCGGCCCCCTCTGCCCCCTGCCGCCCCTCCTCTCGCTCTCTTTCCAGTCGTCTCTCTTGGATGAGTTCCACCAACCTTTGGAACTGGGCACCCCAAACCCCTTGCACGCCCCAGCTCTCCTCCCCCTCACTTTCCAGGGAGCTCAGTGACCCAGCAAGGGACCCCGTGCCCTCAAACCCGTACACCTGTACCGAGTCATAAGGTGGCACAGAGGGGTCAAAGGTCACTTGGGCCAGGCGAACCCTCAAAAACTCCCCCACCTTTAGGGCCAAGGACCCCTGCCCCCCACCCCCTGCCTCTACCCTCAGACCCCGCCCCTCAATGTATCCCAGCTGCCCTGTGCCCAAAATCTGAGGAATCATATCCCTGCGCTCTAAGGTGTATGCTCCAACGCCCGCCCGATTACGCCAGTCTGCGATGAAGCCCAGCCCCTCCTGGTACAGGCTGCACGCAGTCCCGTTCACTGATATTCCTCCTTCCACCTCCAGGTGCATTGTGCCTTCTGCTGGGCTCAAGGCCTCCCCCTGCTGGTCTTCCCCGTAACTGCGGGTGATGCCGCCTGCAGCCTGACTGTCGCAAACACTGCGATTGGACTCGGCGCCGGCTAGCCCTGTGGCCGCCACGCCACTTTGCTTTGCGGAGTGTCCGGCCGGTGAGGGAAGTCTTGGATCTATAGGCTGGATGGAGGACAAGGCAGCCAGGGACAGGGTTGTTATCGTTAACAACAAAGCATAAGAAAGCATTTCCATAATTTTTTAGTAAAAAAAAAAAAGATATGATGAGAAAATTAAAAATTACAACTAACTAACTATTAATATTGCTTCCGAAACTGAAATAAAATGCAAATATTAGATATTTTCTGGTCCTGTTTTTAATACTGTTTAGCTAAAGTAATTTTGTGTTTATCTTTAATGACCACGAATAATACCCAGACCATGTTTTTCCCATATTGAGTACATAATAGGCACTCTGTATTCATGTAGGATTCTCTAAAGATCAAACAAATAAAATAACTCTAACTTTCAGACAATCCCTAGAAATAAAATTAACATTTAAACTTCAAACAAAATATGTAAAATCTAAACAGAAATATTTCTTTAAAATAAAAATGAATAAATAAAACTAATAAAACACAATGAAATCTAAACTGGATTTCACATGAAAATTGAAAAAAATATATGGAAATAATAAATAAATACATCAGCGCTAGGATGACACTGGCAGAGGTGCCCCTTAAGCGAGGCGCGCAGACACACACATACACACACACACACACACACACACACACACACATACACACACACACACACACACACCAGGCCGAGTCTCCTACCCAGTCCTGGTTCCTCTGGCTGTCACCGCTGAGGTCGCTGCTATCCTTGGGCTCGCCGGTCCGCGTGGAGCCGCTATCGGAGTCCCCGCTCCCCGCCTCGGCCTCCACGGCGCCCCCTGCTGGGCTGGGCTTGTCTGGGACTGAGTTGTGCAAAGTAGGGAAGCCGAGACAGCGACCGGCCCGCAGCACTGGCAGCGTGTGGCAGCTGTAGCGCAGTGGCCCATAGGGCGAGGCTTCCGGGCCCCGGTACTGAGAATTCGGACCGGCGTTTTGGGCCCAGTTACCAGCCTGGGATTGTTCCCGATTCTGCTGGGAATAGCGTCTGTGGAGAGGGGGAGGGTTTCAGAATCACACGCTACCAGTTAATAATAGTCCCTGCATCATATTTATCGCTTTCTATATTTATATAGTCACAGTTTTTCATTTTTCATTCCATCTACCAATAAACTGTGAAAGGGATTTTATTGTTGCTACTTTTCTTGCGTTTCAAACTGCCTTTCCAAAGTGATGGGTGTGGGGTGCAGTGACATTCCAGACTGATGGGCCATTGACAGTATGCAAACTACTACAGGTGTGAGGACACCTATCTCACCAATATTCATTGTGAAGGCCACTGACTTTGAGAAAAAGAGTGTCACTCTAAAGTTCTAACACTTTAGTAATCAAACTACATAAAATTTCAGAATGTCACTTTCACCTATGTGTAGCCAACCCCTGTGTCTATAAGCTTCAGAGCTCAAAAGTCTTACCTAGAAATGTCTATAATGTGATTTTTTACAATTTCTCAGCATGTCTGAAAATAGGTTTTTGAAAACTATATGTTTAAGTTGATTTTAACAAAAAATAGAATAATAACATTCTAAGAGGTCTCAGATTATTGGTGCTGAGTTTGTGCTGAATAAAAGCAAATGTAACACTTTGGGATAAATGTTTTTTAGATAGGTGAAATATTTTAAAATGTCAAGGCATGTCAGACTACCTTGAAAGTGGAAAAGAGGCCTCAGACCCCAGGGGGTTAAAGACACAAACAGAGTCCCACATGGTTACCATATAGTTCCCCCTACAGGCTCTCACATGTTCTTGCTGTCCAGCGTGCGGTACCCCCGCCGGCCGCTCTGGGGGGCGCTCTGCAGTGCAGCGATATCGAAGGCGGCAGTGTCGGCCTCGCCGCCCCCCTCGTCGTCGTAGGTGATGATGTTCTCCCGCACGTCGTCCTCTTCCAGCGGCGACAGAGAGTCACGCTTCTGACGCCGCAACGAGAGTGACAGCACGCTTACGGCTGGGGGGGCACCAGACAGCAAGGGGGCAAGAGAGGGCGAGGTATAGAGGCGCAAGTGAGGGAGAGAGGGAGGGGGGAGGTATGGAGAGGGAAGCAGGGGGGAAAGGGAGGGAAGGAAAGGGGTGAGAGAGAGAGAGAGAGAGAGAGAGAGAGAGAGAGGGAAGGGGGTGATATACCTATTATATACATAAGCATAGGTCAAATATACACATTATAATCAGACATACAGACAACTGTCTTATCATTCTGACTGTCTGCTTGTGTTGACGCTCTTTGCCTGTTGTTTAATGCATTAGTCATCATTATTATTATTTGACTTGTCAATTGCTCTAGGCTGGAATATAAACACTCAGAATATATTTACACACATTCATGCCAGTCATGCATGCTTGTGTGTGTGTGGCCTCACCCAGCAGTGTGGCCACGCAGGCCAGGATGGCCAGCAGGGCGGCGGTGCTGAGCCCTGGGGAGGGGGAGGCGGAGGGCATGGGCAGGCAGACGCCCCGCAGGCAGGGGCACACGGAGACGGTGAGCGTGCCAGTGCTGCTGAGGCCAGAGCCGCTGTCCCGCAGGACCACGGGCACCTGCATGGTGATGGAGGAGGCGGGGGAGCGCGGCAGCGTCTTCAGGGGGGACAGCAGCAGCACCTTGGCTGTGGGGCCTGAGCAAAGGAGGAGAGGGAAGGAGAGAGAATGAGGAGAGTGAGGGGGTGGAGGGGGCCACAGAAGGACAGATGATGAAATGATGATGACTCTGAGAAGACAGAGCCGGCTGTTAGTCTCTTATTATCATCACTGTGCTGCAGTGACGAGCGATTAAATTTATCATGACATTAATCAGCCTGATCCATTACTGCCTACTGCAGTCTGCCTGTGACTACACTAAGGAAGCGGGGCAAAGCACGGGCAGCGGGGGGCGGAGCGAGGAGGCAAAATGAGGGAGGGTGGAGTGAAGGGAGGCAGAGTGAGAGAGGGTGGAATGAATAGAGGCAGTGTGAGTCAGGGTGGAGTGAAGGGAGGCAGAGTGAGAGGGGCGGAGTGAGAGAGGATGGAGTGAAGGGAGGCAGAGTGACAGGGACAGAGTGAGAGAGGATGGAGTGAAGGGAGGCAGAGTGAGAGGGGCGGAGTGAGAGAGGATGGAGTGAAGGGAGGCAGAGTGACAGGGGCAAAGTGAGAGAGGATGGAGTGAAGGGAGGCAGAGTGAGAGGGGCGGAGTGAGAGAGGATGGAGTGAAGGGAGGCAGAGTGACAGGGGCAGAGTGAGAGAGGGTGGAGTGAAGGGAGGTAAAGTGAGAGGGGTGGAGTGAAGGGAGGCAGAGTGAGGGAGGGTGGAGTGAAGGGAGGTAAAGTGAGAGGGGTGGAGTGAAAGGAGGCAGAGTGAGAGGGGCGGAGTAAGGGGGCAGAGATTCCCACCTCCTGTCTCTGTGATGCAGAAGTTCTGCGCTGCCCTTGACTCAGGCGCAATGCTGAAGTGCACCGTAGAGTCGTTCCCTCCTTGGTCCATATCGACGGCGCGCAGCTCCTGGACCACCTATGGGGGGAGCCACCATTGGCGGCATCATGGCAGCAATGCCCTTACTAGAGAACTTAATTGTGAGTGCGGGAGCTGAATGCACAATCAGGGGAGTGTTAGGGTGTACTCACACTAGCCAAACTGTACCGTGCCCAAGCTCATTTGAGTGACTTAATAAATGTGATCACTCCGTACCATGCCCAGACGTGGCATGCTTAACCATGCCCTGGCCCGATTGATGAGGTGGGCTCAAACACGGTTAGTAGGATTAGGGCCCGGTACGGATCTAACCCAGGCACAGAACACAGATTTGATGTCAATGATACGACTGGCCCACGCGTGTGCACATGTACACTATATATGAACCGAACCCTAAAGGAAAGGACTGCACAGATCGGCTGCACAGATTGCCCCCCTCAAATAAACGAAGCAAGGGAGATCGTATTTAGCTAGCTGACATTACAGTATTCTATACAGCATGCATGCAGTTCTAACAGGGTATAACTGAGGTTCAGACATATTGCCATGGTTCTCATTCAATGTTTAGCATTAGCGAAATTAGCGTTACTGCTATCTGTAGTAGTGTAATTAGTACTAAAGAAATGTAATAAGGAACAGCTTTCAAATATTTCAGTACTGGTATCCTATGCAACACTAGTCTGCGTAAACTGAAATATTTGGTAAAATGTGGGATCTTCGTATACATGCAGCAGAAATAAAGAAAAATCACTGCGCTGTATACTTGATAAATCTATGTGTGTCATCATCCCCAAAATGACTCCAAATAAGGCACAAAATAAGGACATTAATCATGAATTCCATTCTGCTGTGCGATAGTGCTTTCATTCCTGTTTTCTTCCATGCAAAAAAAGTCGTACAGTGATGACCAAGGCGTGCTCAGGCCAGGCTCGTTAAGTGCAATGTGAGTGCAGACAATGGGGGGGGGGGGGGCAATAGTGCTCGGACACGGTACAAGGCAACTGGACCAAGTGTAAGTATGCCCTTAAGCAACACTGAATAGTAATCAAGCTTGATTGTAGAAACCAAACCTGACTGCGATTTCGCATCCTCAGAGGAAGGAATTATGATCCCCTAGCATGGAAATTTAAGCCACTGTAAGTTACTAAATAACCATGTGTCAGTCAGCTATGCAGTTATGATAACATACCGAACACACACATAGGATGAGAATCTAAGAAAGGTAAAGAGACACAGACCTAAACTGAATGAGACTAACAGAGACCGTAAGAAACAGAGACTGTCATACAGAGACTGACAGAAATGGAGAATAACTGACAGTCAGACGGACAGAGAGACAGGAGGAGTAACTTAAATATATAGACACAAATATGTGGACATTGGCGGTCAGTAGTGAAGAAGCGATAGACGGACAGACTGGGGAGAGTGCTGACAGACAGGGGATGGACTGACAGACT